GGGTGCCCCTTAAGAGTCAACAAAGTAGAAAGTGATTGAGGAAACAAAGAGAATAATCCTGGGAGATGATGCCTGGATTCCTCATAGTCTGATGTGCAGGGTGCTTTGAAAGCCCCACCCAATATTCCTTACTAAGCTTAAATAATGGAGAGAATGATAAATATGTCCTATGTAGACACAAGTAATCATTTGACTAATACAGAGTGAAGATTTTGGAAAATGCTATTAATAGACACCAGGAGAGCAGATAATGGGGTCAATTAAAATAATGGTATCTACTAACATTAATTTAAAAGGGTGAGGGGACTAGTTATAGCTTAGCAAGGAGGCTGTTTCTGTAATCAGATACTTGAGAATTTACTCTGGGTCTTGGCAACAGGACTAAGAAGGAACAAACACAGCCTCAAGAGACTCTATGAAACAAATGTACTGGAGTTAGTGGCATTGCCACAGGCAATAGAACTTAAAGGATAGGAATGTGGATGGTAGAGTTGAACTTCTATGTGATTACCCCATCTCATCCATTCAGTCTTTAAGCTTGTTTCCCATCTGTAAAATGGGAATAATAATGAGACTAATCTCATAGGGTTAGAGTGTGAAGAGCATTGTCTGGAACAGGATAAGTGTTTGATAAATTGTAGCTGATGCCATTGTCCATGTCTCTAAGAGCATGTATCAACAAGGATGAAACAATATAAACATAATTAGAGAAAAAATAGTGAAAAGAAGAATTTAGGAGATGCAGATTTTGTCAGAAGAGGATCTACTTGCTGTTGGGTGTGATGAGTTTGTATTTAGCACTTGTCTACACTTACTATGTGCTTAGCTTTGGGTCAAGCTCAGAGATACTTGAAGGGAACTTAAGTATCTTTTGCAGAGTCCTGTAGGTCTGAGAAGCAATTGCACATACGGGCTAACAGTTTTGGTTTTGGAGTCAGACTGTCTAGTTTTGAAATCCTGTTCTTCCACTTAGTAGCATTTTATTTTTCTCTATAAACCTCAGCTTTCTTTCCTAAAACAAAAGTGAGGGGTGGGGAAAAAATCCCTAGGATTTATGAGAGGTTTAAAAGATAAAATGAGAAAAGTACTTACCATAATATCTGATATGTACCAAGACATTTGTAGGAGTAATAATAATGATAGTGTGAATATAGGTAACAGTAGTCATTGTAATAATGTTAGCATCTGAATTACTGCCTATGGTCAGGTGACAGGCTCAGAATAATAATGTGCATTTTGCAGATGTGAATACAAAGATCAGAATGGAGCCATCATCATGGGCAGAGTTGTCCACAGGGAGATGGGTAGAGGGAAAAGAACTGGGATCAGAAAGAAGGAGAAAAAAAAAAACTGTAATGGGAAAGGATGGACTGGCAGAAAGACAGGAATAGTTAATGTCTGAGAACTGAGGAAAGGTCATGGTTCTAGAACAGGGAGCCAATAATATCTAATATCCAAGAGGTCAAGGAAATTGAGACCTCAGGCAAGATCTGGAGTGAGTTTTAAAAGGACAATTTAGGTACCATGATAAGGGCAGGAATTATCATAGATGGTTTCAGCAGGAAATGTGTTGATAGGAAAATTAAATTCATTGATAGCTAAAAGTGCCACACAGGTAGGAGGACTATCAGGATGACAGGCAGTGTGGCTTCACCCATGCATAAGACCTACTTGGCATGACATCTCTGCTGGGCCACCTGCTCTGTGACCATGGGAGAGTGCTCCCCTTTCTTTCTCTCCCTTGCAGTTGTGTGGCCGGGGGTCTGAGTTATACCCAATGGGATGTGAGCTGAGTGATACGCAGCACTTTTAGGCCTGACCCAGAACTTTCCACGGACAATTTTCCCTCTCTTTCTCTATTGCCAGCTGAATGGGAGGATAGAAATTTTCATTCTATTAGTCCACTAATATTTTAAAGTCCTTTGTCACAGTTGTCAATTTACCCTGACTGATATAGTTAATAACTACTCTGAACCTCTGCTTCTCAGGCTAGCAATAGCTACTTAGCTGATGGTTGTTCTTTCCGCTTTTGCCTGCTAATAGAACCTTAATCTTGATGAGTTAATTGGCATTCTTTTGCTTTATGAGAGTCTGTGTGCTATCTGTGGAATGGGGTGTGTGTGTGTGTCTGTGTGCACGCGCACATGTGGGCATACACTGGCCAATTTAAGCCAAGTGCAGCAGCTTTCCTCTCTTGCCTGTGAATGTCTTAATAATGGACATGGGTTCAATGACACATGGAGAAAAGTTCTCTAGTGGGCTTTTAGGAAATTTTCCTTGTTCTTAAAAAGGGGCTCAAAAACAGATATTCATTTCCCTTTTTAAATTTTGCATGTTATGATGATGCCCGGAGCTACAATAGCCACCTTGTGTTCATTGAGAGAAATCATCTGAAGGCAAAATCCAACAGGGTGAAGAGGGGAGAATCCCAAGGTGTGGAACCAATCCTGAAAGCATCCTACCATCACGAGTGTTTTAAGTGAGATAATAATATTCTCTTTTATTTATACCATTCTTAGTTGATTCTTGTGTTACCTATATCAAAAATACCCTAACCTGTATTTTGGTTAGAATTAAATCAATTAAAACATAAGAATCGCAAGCCATGTGGTAAGTGATCAAGTATGTTACCATCAAAATAACCACCACAATCACCATCAAAGCATGGACCTCCTGTCTCCCAAGCCAGTACCTCAGACCTTATTGCTTCCTGGGTCTCAACAGAAAAATAAAGTCTCCTTTCAACATGTGACACAATATTTTCCAAGGGGCGGGAAAACAGCCTAGAAACACAACCAAAGAATTCTTTCTAGAACTTTTAGTTCTTTTGGAAACTAAGGTTGTGGAGGAGATTTGGTTATTGGCGGCACTGGGATGTATCGTTTAGATAATGAGATATTTGTAGGGTAAAGTGAAACCTTGGGATAACAGGTGCCCTATACAAATAAGGGTACTATTAGCTAGATAATATTTAACAAACACTCCCTCCTTATCACAAGCAATTCAAGGCAATAGAATAGAATATTACAGTCCATGGTGGAGAAAAACATATAATCCTTACATTATTCCTACCGACTGATAAATAGGGAAAGATGCAGAGCCTCTTGTCATCCTGCTTCCTGCCTTCATTCAGGTTATTCAGAAAGATGAGTGTGGCTTGAAGAAAGATAAGGCCAATATAAGGCAGTCTGTACTGTGTTCATGCTCCTAGAGCCCAATAAAGAAAATCAAATCAAATCAAATATATGTGATGAAGATCTAGATGAAATGAGAAGCTATTTTCATGCCATTGAACGAGGGTAAAATGATAAAATAATAGCATTGAAGAGAAGAAAGTGAAACAGAACGAGAAAGAACAGGGATGTTTCTTTGCTGTTTTCTTCTTTATTAACGTATTTCACTTATTTTCTTTTAACATTCGATGCTCAGACAAATCAGCAAGGTAGCCTCCATTATCCATATTTAACAGATGAGGAAATTGACACTCAGTGAAGTTCATTGACTTATCTGAGATCACAGCCAGATCCCCAAGTCCAAACAGCATATTGCTTTTGCTTAACCACTTTGCTTTTCATTTTATTCTCGTTGGGGTGAGAATCCTGAGTGACCTGCATTAGTCTTTTCTCATACTGCCAATAAAGACATACCTGAGACTGGGTGATTTATAAAGAAAAAGAGGTTTAATGGACTCACAGTTCCACATGACTGGGGAGGCCTCACAATCATGCTGGAAGGCGAAAAGCACGTCTTACATGGCAGCAGGCAAGAGAGAATGAGAACCAAGGAAAAAGGCTTTGCTTTCCCCTATAAAACCATCAGATCTTGTGAGACTTTTTCACTACCACTAAAACAGTATGGGTGAAACCGCCCCTATGATTCAGTTAACTCCCACCAGTTTCCTTCCACAACACGTGGGAATTATGGAAGCTACAATTGAAGATGAGATGTGGGTGGAGACATAGCCAAACCACATCATGGCCTGATCTTAAGACTCAGAAGTGACAGTCATCCTACCCTCCGAGGAGCTGGCTGCAACTCAGGAAGGTGCATCCATGAAGAGCCATGTTGGGTGAAGTAAGAAAACACCTTGCTTGGAAGGGAAGATCCCTGACTCAGGATTCTGATTTAACACTGTCTACACTTTGTAATCTGAGTGAAGTGACTAAACCTCTCAGCTTCTGTTTCTTTGAGTTTAAAAAACAAAGAGCCTTCATGAGATTGTGTCTCTGATTATTTATTGTTTCTTCTCTTTTACCTCAGAAGACTGGTTGACCCTTGTTTAAACAAAACAAAACAAAAAGAAACTAACATAGGAAAACACTCCTGGCCACCTGTGCTATTTATATTTATCCAATACACATGTTTTCCTAAAGTGCATGAAGTACTTGTGAATGCCATTTTTTTAGATATATGCTGTCAGTTCTAATTGCACAGAGCTAAACATTTTAGCCATGAGAGCTTCTCTGTGTCACAAACCTACCATCCTGTTAAAGCAGGCCTACAAATGCTCTCACAAATCAACTCATTTCAGAATGAGTTCATTGGATGGTTGGCTATATGGTTGGAACCACTTGGTTCCAAACCCTCCTGGCTGTATTCTTTTCTTTCTTTCTTTTTTTTTTTTTCTTTTTTTTTTTTGTGGAAAACAGACCTGCCAGCATTCTTCCGTATGCCTCAGACTAGAAACCCAACTAGACATCACACACTTTTCTTAAGCTGATTTTAATTTCCTTCTGTTGTGTGGTCCCAGATTGCTGGATAGAAGTTCTTCCAGAACTATGTAGCCCAACACACTCTAGGTTAATGCAGAGCCTCCTCCCCACCCCGCTCCTGAAATGGTGTTTCTTCTGGGCTCTGGGCAATATCTATCCATTCACATGACAACCCACTTTTGTTTTGCAAGCACACAGGTTTATCATTTATTCTGCAGAACAATCATGCATATCAGACGAGTATTGACAGCTCCATTTTATGGGAAGAAAAACTGACTCAGAGAGCTTAAATAACCTGTCAAAGCTGATGGTGATACTCAGAGGTTAACCTAATCAGAAAGTGATTAACCTTCTTCTACTCTAATACATCTCTACAAATAATCCCAATTCACTTTCATCCTTGATGAAAATCTGATTTCTATGAAGCTTTGACTAAAACTTCTTTTACTTTACTTCATTTCATGATCTATTCCATTTCTATGCCTCAGTTTCCCCATCTAATAAAAAAGCAAAAAGCAATTAGTCTGAGTTACCTATGTTTGGTCGGTTGAAGTAGTTTGAATTTTTCTGAATCAGGGTGAATGCAAATTGCCTCGTTATTTCACTAATTAATAATGTCTGCTTGGAAATGCGACTATTAGTGCACAATAAATGATAAGGCTTATAATTATAGATGAGACCAATTGCTTCTTTTTTTGTTCTTACCTTCATTTCAGTTCATCTTCCTGAGCTATAGCTACCTCTGTAAGGGGCAGGAAAACATTTAAAATATCTAAACAATGATTCCTTTCTCAAGGGTTTGGAAATTGATGAATCATCCTACTCTGCAGCATTCAAAGTAACTGTGTGCTTGACACATAGGAGGAAAAGTGGGCTCTTTGAAATGTGAGCTGAGCACTGATCATGTCACCTGCTCGGTGCGTGACCTGTTCACTTTCCTCCTGACCCTCTGTGCCCAACGTCACCTGGAGCCTGAAACCTGGAAGCGAAAAGTCCTTGACTGGAGTCAGTGGAGAGAAAATCATCACCTGCTTGGGCACAAACATGCCTGGTGACTGCGTCACTGTTTGTTAAATGTGATCAGCTAATAGTTGCACAGCGGGCCTTCAAAGCATCACGGCAGAACTGATGAAGTTCCTGTAATGCACTCCCTGTGTGAAGGCCTTGGACTTTAGAGCTCACGTGCGCCGGGAGCATTTTGAGCCCGCTGACAGGCTCTCCCATGGATTCTATTTGGTTAAACGGCAGAGGAAAAGAATTGACTTTCATTTTCTTCACTCTCTGCCTGAATGTGTCGACTCCAGCCACACTTCCATTTCCCATATATTGCATAGTCTGTTCCCTCTGCTTGGGACACCCTCCCCTCTGGATTGCAGCAAGATTTGCTTCTATGTTTCACTCAGTTATCTACTTACAAATCACCTCCTTAGGGACCTTGCAGGCTGCTCTCTTTCTCCTTACCTGGCTTCATTTTCCTTCACAGCACCTGACACTATTACACATACTTACTTAGTAATCCATGGTTTGTCTTCCCCACTGGACCATAAGTTCTCTGAAGGTAAGAGCTACATTTGTTTTTTTCCACTGATCTGTTCTCAGTGTCTACAACAGCACTCAAGCTACAAGATAACCTTGAGAAACATTTCTTAAAGCAGTGAATAAATGAATGAGTGAAGGAATGATTTTTTCTCATTTTACAAATGAAACAAGTCAAAAACAAAGAGGGGAAGTAAGCTAGTCCAGCTCTACAGCCATTTAGTGGCACAGCTAGTATTAACACTTTGATTTCCTAACTCTCAATCCAGGATTTTATTTTCATTTTATTCCATACAATACTGTTCTCCAGAAATTCGGCAACTCAGACAGCACTTGACTCTTCATGAACACATTTGTTGCCCAGTCTTTAACTTGTTCATGTCAATGAGAATGACTAGAACTTCATGAGAGACAAGTGTTTACTAGTTAAGTTCTTACTGAAGTGATTGGTCTTAGAACTCCCTTTCAAGGGCAAAGACGATTGAAAATTAGTTATACTATTACATTTTTCAAACATTTTTGAATATATGTGATTTTAAGCATTTGTTGTATAAAGGTGGATATGCATAAAGAACAGGTAAAAATAATAATCATTATAATCATATATAGAAGTAGTCTTGGTACATTTTAAACATATTTAACAATTGGAATCCTGCTGTATGCAGAGTTTTCTGTCTTTGTTTTAAACATTATATTTTAAACATTTTTCTAATGTCACTAAAACTAGCATTGTTTTAGGGATAATATTACAATATATAAGTGTGTCACAATTTCACAATTTTAGTTGATTATTTTCCTCTTATTTATCATTAAGATTGTTTCCATTTTTTATTTATTGGATTTCTAGGTTTTAATCCTTCATATTTCTGGGTTCAATTATTCTATGAACGTTTTCAAAAATAGGCAGAAATTAAATTGTTGTCCAAGTTTTTACTTAAAGTGTTACAAATAATCTAAAAAAAAAAAAAATTCAAGGTTTCAAGCTCAAAGTTTCTCTTCAAATCAATAACTATTGAAGATTTCACTTATTTGCATTTTTAGTCTTTGAGGTTTAGAGTGGAGGGTTGGAATTCGGGGGCAGTGGGACAGGAAACATTGACCAATTTGAGAACAAACAGAGGCTTGGAAAATTTGTTTACATTTCTGTTGTATGTGTGACTCTGGCCTTTGTAACAAGGAGGATAAAAAGCCAGAACTCACTTTGGTGGCGCCTGCAGACCTCTGCACTGTAATGACACAGGCACAAGCTGTACTGGGTGCAAGTCAGCATGACTCAGCCACCCCCCCAGGTGAGAGGAAGCAGTGGTGGAAGGCCAGCACTTGTCCCTACCTCCCCATGTACAGTGGTGAAGAGAACGCTCACAAAGGGTTTCTCAATGTGAGAAGGAACCCTGTGTTCAGAGTGTGGCTTAACCCAATGGGATATTCCAGCCATAATTCAGGTTAGGGTGATGGTCCCACTATATACCTAGTATATTTGTGAATCTCAAGTTGATGCCACCTCTTGTACCTTGCACAAGTAATAATCACTACCATTGATCTGGCACTTCCTGCGTGACAGCTTACTAACCTAGGCACTTTCAACTGGCAAACTCATTTAATTCTCAAAACAAGTTTGCCAGGCAAGTGTTATTGGCTGCATTTTCCAGATAAAGACATTGAAGTTCCGAATGAACTTCAAATAAAGTTTATTCCAGATCAAGTTCACTGAGTTTCATGCTGCCCAAAGTCACACAGTGCTGGGATTTAAAACTGGTCTATTTGTCTTCAAAGCCCATGCATTACTGCACACCTATGGGGCACTGCAGAGAAAAGCTTCCTCCTTCTGCTCAGTACCTGCGATTCTAGAGACAGTTGTCATAGAACAGATTGTATTAGAATAATCCATTGATCGATAATCTCATTGACTATTTAACGAGCACTTACTTTGTGCCATGATCTCTACTAGTTTCCACTGAGAGAGTTGAATACAACACATTTCTTATCATAAAATGGGAGGAGGGCGAGATTTGAAGCGCAGGATTGTGAGATACTTAAGCCTCCACTCTCAGGACATGGAATACTCTATTCACCACAGGCATCAGCTCATCACAGTAACTCAATAATATTTGTGGAAGAAGACAAATATCAAAGGATGGGCGATACATTATAAGGCAACTAAAACTTAGTCTAAATACTTGGAATCTATTCTCAGTTTTATTCTGTATTCACTGTGCAACTTTTGGAATTTCTGTGTAGCCCCCTAAGCCTGCCTCCTTATTTGTAAAAGTGGAGATAAACATCTTTGTCTGATTTCACTCATTGGATCACTGTGGATTCAGGGGATCAGGGGGATCAACTATGGGTATCAGAGCTACTGAAAAGGTAAACATCAGTTTTCCAAGTATCAGGAACTGTAATACTTGTGGGCCAAATCAACCAGTCAATATTTATTGCATACCACATGCCAAGTAGAAGACTAAGACCTTCATGAATGCTATACATTTGTGCCTTCAACAACACTTAATTAATGCACGTCTCCATTTTATAGAGGAGAAAACTGAGGTTCACACAGGTTAGATAGCATGCTGGAAATGACACAGTTGGTGAGGGAAGAAGCAGGAATCAGATTCTCATTGCCTGATGCTGATGCCCAAGCTCTTATAACTGTGCTTTCACAGACCCCAGCAGCTGCGTGTGACAATCATACTACTAGAAACATCTCTGTAGGAACACAAATTAAACACCTGTTCTTAATTTTACCCTACTAACTTAGAATCAGTTACGGGATTCCTCGAAAAGTTAAAAATAGGGCCACCATATGATCCAGCAACCCTACTATTGGGCGTATATTACAAAGGAAATGAAATCAGTATGTCCAAAGAGATGCCTGCACTTTCACTGCAGCATTACAGTAGCCAAGATGTGGAATCAACCTAAGTGTCCATCAACGAATGAATAAATTTTAAAAATTGTGGTATATATACACAAGGGAATACTCTTCAACCATAAACAAGAAGGAAATCTTGCTATTTGCAACAACACAGATGGAACTGGAGGACATTTTGTTAAGTGAAATAAGCCAAGCATAGAAAGACAAATATTGCCATGTCAGTTATATGTAGAATCTAAAGAAGTTAAATTCATAGAAATTGCATAGAATGGTGGTTACTGGGGACTGGGGAAGTGTGGGTGGGGGAATGTTAGAAAGATGTTGGTCAAAGGACACAAACTTTCAGTTAGAGAAGAGGTATACGTTCAAAAGGTCTATTGTATAACATGACGACTATTGTTAGTAACAACATATGTATTTTTAAAAAATACTAACAGAATAGAGTTTAAGCATTCTCACCACTAAAAATAAAAATTAAGTAATGTCAATTAGCTCAACTTACTTATTCCAAAATGTATATATATTTAAAATATTATGCTGTACATAATACATATATATAATTTTGTCATTTAAAGAAAAAGTAATAATTTTTATTTTCCTAAAATAAAAAAGAATCAGCGACAGAAAGTCAATTCACTTTCCAAAAATTCCAAGTTGCACTGCTTTCAGAACCTGGACGTCTTGTGTTACCCTTAGGTCTTCAGCTTCTGACTCCTTTTATTTCTGAATCCAAGACCATCTTGTTCCAACACTGTCCATCCCCTTCATATGTGCTGGGGGTGAGAGGAGAAGGGTCCATGCATATCAAGTATGAAATGAAACTAAGACCCTCCACCCAGACCCTCAGATTCTCTGAGCAAATCCTAAGATTTGCTATAGAAGCAGCTTCCTGTTGATGCTTCATGCCAAACTCCTTTTTGACCCACATCCTTTCTTTTCTTTCTTTTTTTTTTTTTTTTTTTTTTTTTTTGAGACGGACTGTCGCTCTGTCTCTAGGCTGGAGTGCAGTGGCGAGATCTCAGCTCATTGCAATCTCTGCCTCCCAGGTTCAAGAGATTCCCCTGCCTCAGGCTCTGGAGTAGCTGGGACTACAGGCGCACACCACCATGCCCGGCTAATTTTTTGTATTTTAGTAGAGATGGGGCTTCACCATGTTGACCAGGATGGTCTCTATCTCCTGACCTCGTGATCCGCCCACCTCAGCCTCCCAAAGTGCTGGGATTACAGGCGTGAGCCACCGCACCGGGCCATCCTTTCATCTTTGACCTTTGAAATTCCCTCTTGACCGATTCCACTACTCCCCTGTCTCTGTTACATCCCTTCCTTCATGGTGCTACCTGAGTGGACTTTGTTGAATACAACTGAGCTTTGTCTTCCCTGTGGCCTCTTTAATACAAGAGAGAGGCATGGTGTTCACTAATCTCATCTCCAGCTCTCAAACCCACCCTTGCCTCCAACAAATCCCTGCATGCCCTATTCACGTAAGGCTTTTGAAGCCTGTTGCTGGTCTTTGAATTCTCCATGGTCTTTTCTGGGTCTCTTTGTGCTTCTTGATATCTAGACCTGGACTCAATTTCTGTTTTCCATTTTGCTTGGTAAACTACTAGTCCTTCAAGAACAAGCTCAGATACTGTTGTTTTTGTTTGTGTCATTCCAGGGAGCACTGCCTCGCTTCCTCCTCTGTGCCATTGTGGGAGTATCTAAGTCAATTGTGATACATCTTATTTTTCTGTCAACATTTGTATTTGTGCCTGTTTCTTCTGCGGGGTCATGTACTCTGTAAGAACAGAGATGGTGTCACACTCATGTTTACATACTGTACCTAGCATGGTGCCTGGTACACAGTAGGCACTCCATAAATGCCTGCCAAATTGAATTGAATCAAGAGCCACAGAGATAAAGAGTAGCTGGCAATGACTGTGTAAAACGTAAGAAAGATTCTGAATTGTCTCCAGCAATTATTAAATAATAAAAAATGATTTTTAAAAAATGATCTTATGTTGGGTTTTAAAAGATAAATTTGGAGGGTATTAGAATACCCAAAGCAAAGCAAATGACCATTTTTTGTGCAAGTGAAAAATTTTTAGTTTTAGTCTCTCCCAGGACTTTGTGAGAAACCAGATTCTAATTATGTATTTAATTAACCTCTATTCCCAATGGTTTCTTATGATGACTTTCTATTTAATGGGTTTACAATACTGGATTGTACAGAAGCCATAACTGAAGCTGGCTTAGTTAAATTGATTTCCTGATTCCCTAGGTTTACCATTAGAATTGTATTTCTTCATCAGGCTTCCTTCTCTGAACTCTTCAGCTCTGCCACCTCCAGGCCTTACCATCTTCTTGGTTTCTAGTGATGTCATCTACAAGAGAGGAAAGGGAAAGTGAAGAGGGAATGGGAAAGGAAGGAAATGAGGAAGAGCTGCGACACTTCGGAATTACTTTTTGAAAATCACAACAAACCCATTTCTATTGTTGATATCAGTTGTATTTCAGTTATGTTGGTACTTACTGCTGAATTGCCTTTAAGAAGACTTTTTAGCAATTTACACTTTGAAGATGAATAAGAATAGCTATGTGACTACACTCTTGCCAACACTAGATAGTCTCATCTTATTTAAAAAAAACCTAAAGATTGTATTTAATTGTTTTAAAGTTGTATTTATTTGATTACTCATGAGGTTAAGTATTTTTCCATATCTTTCTTAACCAACTGTTTTTCCAATTTTATGAATGTTCATTCAAAGAATGAAATAAGTTTTAGTGCTATAGTTAGATCATTGTCTTTGGAGATTTAAAACTAAAGAATTTCTCAAAATGTACCAGAGTTTCACTGTAATACAAATGAGTAAGATTATTACTTTCCGCTTTAAAATAGAGTGAGTTTCTCTAATAAATATTTGCCCTTTCAGAATAGAAACAAGGCCATTTTGCTCATATGTTGTACGTAAAGATAGTCAAAACATGGTTCCTCAACTCCAGGAGCTCACAATTTCATAGGAAGAAACACCAGAAATATCAATTACAGCATATTATGATAGGTGTTGGGATAGAGTGGACACATTGTGCTGTGGAGCCTAGAGAAAGTTCATCTAAGTAAAATATGTAGCAATAAGAAAGGATAAGGCTCAGAATAAGTGCTATAGCCTGAAGGTTTGGGTTCCCACCAAAATTTATATGTCAAAACTGAATCCCCAGCATTAGTTTTGGGATGTGGGACTTTTGGGAGGTGATTAGTTAGTGTGGGACTTTAGGGAAACACCCTCATAAAAGAGATTAATGCCCTGGAAAGGAGACCCCCAAAAGATCCCTCACCCCTTCCACCATGTGAAGGAACAGGAAAACGATGGCTATCTATGAAAGAGGAACTGGGACCCTCACCAGAGAGTAAATCTGCTGGCACCTTGATCTTGGACCTCCCACTCTCCAGAACTATAAGAATATATTTCTCTTTATAGTACCCAATCTATAATATTTTGGTATAGGAGCCCAAATAGAATAAGATAAGAAAGCAGTACTATGGTAATTTGGAGTGAAGGGAGAAAGCAAGAAAATTGTGAGGTAGGATTTAGGACTTGGGAGTGAAGATTGAACATGTGTGTTGACTTCCAGGTACAGGAACTCTTCTTTCTCCCTAATTTATCTTATCTATTTCTTCCCAGTGGATGTGGCAGCAAGAACTGTTGTTGGAACTTCATTCATTTCTGTTCTCATCCCTGTTCAAATAGGAAGTTTAAGGGCCATGGAAACACATCCACGACAATCCATAAGTTGTGACTGTTATTAGCGAAATATTTTTAAAAAGAGTTTGTGGGTCATGTCAGGAGGACCAGGGACAAACTGAAATGTCCGTCTTGGGCCTTGGATTTAAGAAGCCTCAAAATGAAATGGGAGTAAGTGACAAGGGCATTCTGAGTGAATCTGGATTCTTAAGGAGAAAAGTAAAGGAAGGAAGAACTGGGGAATCCATTGAAAGATGATAGCACTGACTAAGGGAAATGATAAAAATGTTTCCATTATTCCCTGGAATTTGATCATTTTCCTGTTCAGTTACCAGTAGACGGAATCTTGCTCTGTCACTAGGCTAGAGTGCAGTGCTGTGATCTCAGCTCTCTGCAACCTCCGCCTCTGGGGCTCAAGCAATTCTTGCTCCTCAGCCTCCCCAGTAACTGGGACTATAGGCACAACACCACGCCCAGCTAATTTCTGTATTTGTAGTAGAGACAGGATTTCACCATGTTGGCCAGAATGGTCTGGATCTCTTGACTTCGTGATCCACCCACCTAGGCCTCCCAAACTCTTGGAATTACAATGTCTTTCTTTATGTCCTTCCAGCTATTCTTTTGACTGGATTACATACATACTTAAACAGAAAATTGATTAATTTCAATTGCAATAATTGCTACAAAGTAGAAATGTAAGGTGACTTGAACTTCCTAATCTAATCATGGAGATCAAGGAAGGCGTCCCAGGAGAAGTGAAACCTGAAAGACAGATAACTATGAGTTATATAGAGCAGAGTGCCTCAGCCTTGGCACTGATTCTTGGGACTGCATAATTCTTTATTGTGGGGATTTGTTCTGTGCACTGTAGTATGTTTAAAGAGAAACATCTCTGGCCTTTACTTACTGGATACCGGTGGGACTTTTGCCCAACTGTGGCAAATAAAAATGCCTCTAGACATTTTCAAATGTCCCCTGAGGAGAACAACTAATCCAGAGGGATATGGGTGAAGTGCAGCATTCTCAGCAGAGGAAACCACATGTGCAACTCTAAGGCAGGGAACATGAATCTGAAGAACTGAACAAGGCTACAGTGTCTGGATCATGAAGCCTCAGTGGGTTAATGGCACTAGCTGACATAAGTAAGGTAAGGTTAGATAGATCATGTACAACCTCATGCATGTGAAGATTTGGGAGGAATGAGATGAGTAATGTATACAGCATCCTTGAATTGTGAAAGATCCATACTTAACAATGTACCTATTTGGATTTTTGTTCCTCCTCTAAAATCCATTTACCTGGTGATTGTGATGGACTCAAGCTGTCTGCAAACCATGAGCATAATTTGCATTTTGGGTCACACAGTCCCTATAGAATTTGTAGGTTTTGTTGGCTTTTTAATTTTATTGCCTATGACATTTAACTTTCAAGCTCCACTAAAGAGCTTAAAAAACAAAACAAAAAACTTCTATTTACAATCTGTTAACCTTTTCAGCTGCAATCATTTTTTTTTTTTTTACTATTTTACCTTTCCTTCCACACGCTCCACAACACATATTGAATCTGATGCAATGACTTACCCGTTACTCCTTCCAGGAATCTTTGTATCATCACAAAGCCTCTCAAGTCGAAGTCTTATCTCCTTAGCTGGCTTCCTTTTCCATAAGTTTGCTGCTCGTTTCCCCACAGACACAGATGGACATTTCAAAGATTTTACTGTCATTTGTTTTCCAGCATTATCTCATCATGAATTTACTGTGCTCTGTGATGGCCAATGTGGCATCGTGGAAAAATGGCCCTGTGTAGAAAAGGGTGATTCTTCTTCGTGATTGCAGTGGATCTGTCTTTGAGAGATCGTACGTAATTAAATTAAACTTTTACAGTTCTTCATCTTTTAAATTCCACACCATTCTGCTTTTCATGCCTTCACTTTACCTTAACTCTTGACTCTACTTAGTCTTTCCAGGAAAATCTTCTAAAACTCAAGTCTAAATTTCATTAGGGTGAAGTTTCTCTCTTATTCTTCTCTGTGCCTGTAGATTTGGGATTGCTTCCTGTTAACTAAATTTGTTACTGTGCAGTCTATCTTCTTCTGTTTACCTGGGCCATAACTATTTTGCCACAGCTGAAGTAACTGAGCTCTTAAATAGTGTTCCGATAGGGCTGATGGGGATCAGATTTTGGAGTAATGTTAGGGCATTTACGATAGGCAGTAGAAAACTGAAATAAACACAGTGACTCCTGCACTGACCATGCTACAGGAAGTGGTATACCTCATCACTACTTACCTGCCATTGGCCACAACAAGTTGCATGGCCTTTCCTAACTTAGAGGGTGCAGGGAAGTGCAATGCTACATTTTGCCCAGATACTGGTGAGTTAAAACATCAGCTATAGTTTTAGTACCTACCATGATTAGCAGAAGCAGAGAATCCCCACCCTTATAGCTCACATTGTCCATTGGGACAGGCATTGATCAAAGTACAGAGTGATGATCATGAGGAATGTTTTCAAAACAGGAGTGTATGGTGCCCATGAGAACACAGAATAAGCAGACTTGACCACTGAAAACTGAAAGGTAATATGGATTAACTAACTGAGGATGGGAATAGGAATTAAATAAGTGAGGATGAATACAGCCCAGGCAGCAGAAATAGCATGTGCAAAGGCCCTGGAGTTGGAGAGAATCTGACATATTTTAGTAGGGGAAAGGCTACTATGACTGGAGGGTTGAAAGTGAAAGGAAGGCTTATGGAAGATAATGCTAGAAATATAAGCTATGATTTTATTGTAAACCCTTAAAATATCTGAAGCTTGAGAGTGGTGGTTTTGTTTTGTGAAGTCGAAGAGAAAAATTTCAATGGAATGGAAAGGATGAAAGGAATGTATTGAACACTGAATGAAGGGGACAGATGTTAGCTGGAGAGATAAGGTAAGATAAGCCCAGGAAGATCACAGCAATAACCCTTTGTGGAAATGCTTCCTTTAAACCAGAGCTGTGACTGAAAGGAAACATACATTTTAGATAGTAAAGAGGCAACATTGTTGAGTGCTTACCACAGAAGTCTTAGTTTTTTTCACCCATAGTGATGAAGAAGGGAAATAGCATCACCTAAGGTGTTTTGTGCATATCTCCTGAATGTCCCACTTAATTCTGCCAGAGGCTTAAAGTTCACAAAAATCATTACACAAGGTACAAGGGTAGACCATGGTACAACTGAGATTCTAGTGTGTTTTGCAGTAGGCAGGGATATGCACACCTTCTTCCCAAGGCCCAGGGGACTGAGAGGTTGAAGAAAGAGGCTGACACATTCAGTTTCTTTGAAAGAAACATTAAATAAAGACCTACAAACAAAAAGCCGAAGGATAAGATGTTGGATCCCCACCCAGTTACCCACAGACCCAGGGCTTATATACCATAGGGAATTTGCTTAAGGGCAGAGTTGATGATAAGTATGCGTTTATAATAACATCAAAGTTGTTTTGACTTAAGGGCTGGATTTACAGTAAGTATGTGAAAGTAGAAATCTTAGAGACATTCCCAGAACTGGAGTTGATCAGAAGTCAACATGGTGGATTAGCATCCAAGATGAAGTTGCTTTGCCTCCACACAATATAAAACCCTTGAATGGGTACCATATTGCATCTTGGGAAAAAAAGGAGGGTTGTTGGTGTAGATGATCTTCAAGGTCTAGCTATGCCTTTTTGAAAGATTCATACTTTTCAGAGAAGGATCTAGGCTCCCAAACTGCATGATTTTTTCTCTTCATTTGTGTACTTCACTAAAGCTCTGTCATCTGTCACCCTTCCTTATGCTGACTTTTCACCAGTGAAATTTCAAGATAATTTTTCTGAACAGGACTTTTAAAATCCACAGTGTAGCATACATTATCAAAATCAAGAATTCAGCCTAGTGTGTGTGTGTGTGTGTGTGTGTGTGTGTGTGTGTGTGTGGTTTTATTCCTCTTCTCTTGTCTTTGATCTCAAAAAGCTTAAGCTTTACTGATAACACAGTTGGTTAACACATATTTTGTATGTTACATGTATTATATACTATAAATTTCCAAAGTACATTACCTAAATTGCTAACCTATCTTGTAATTTGCTGACTACCATTCAGATTTTAGAAGCTGGCTCATTGACTGTGCCCACCCAATCAGCAAAAGGCTAGAATATCGCTGCTTCTCCAGTAAATAAACGGGGAAAGGAAGATTTGTGTTTATCTTTGCAAGTCTCCATTGTAAATCATAATAAGGTGATTTCATGTGTCTAAGCAAAAAGATGACAAAATGACATTTTGAGCAATTTTCTTCTTTCTTCTGAGCATGCATATGGAGTTTAATTCACTAATATATTTGTCAGAGAATGATTAAAAGCATTGATTAGTTTCTTAGAGATTTTAAGTTTCCATTATAGATTTTTATTAACTTATTCTGTATTAGATATGGGCTAACAGACCTTTCATATAATGTCTTTAGAAACACTGGAGTTTGCCAATTTATTTTAGCAACCATTCTATGTGATAAAACTGGTACACACATTTATTTGTACAGTGTAATAGTTAAACCACAGGCTTCAGAGTCAAGTTGTCTTGGTTTAATTCTTGACTGTGTCATTTAATGATTATTTTAAAATTAATCAAATACCCAAACTTTCTGAGTCTCAGTTTTCTCATTTGTAAAATGGAGCTAATAATGATACATATCTCATAGTGCCATCATAAGGAGATGATTAACATCACATGGTGTTTTGAACAAATACCTGCAACACAAGCTCACCACAACAGCAAGAGGAGGTAGCTGTGAAATTATTACAGTAGTATAGTAGGTGCTAGTGTTCGTATTATTCAGTTATGATTTAATACTGCATCTTTATGTGTGTTTAAATTTCTCTCAACTGCAAGTGGCGCCGTGTTTGTCTGTGAGTGTTTGTGTGCATAAGTTTTGAAAAATTTTAAATTTTTATCATCGAATTTGATACATTTCCTTGTGATGGGACCAGCAAAATGTAACACCCCTCCCTACCTTCCCAAAATTTTTGGAAATATTGACAAGGCCCTTGAATTTACCCCAGAACATTATATTTCAATTCTATGTTAATGGAAAGGCTTGGTATTTTGGAGTTGACCAGGTTTGACAAACCATTAGAACACAGCTTCACATATGTCACAACAGCTACATGCCCAGGGAGCTGGGCAGTCACAAATGAAGAAAGGTTAGTCAGATCAGATAATTAGAGAAGACATTCTTAGAGACAATGGATTTGAATAAGTCTTTGTTTGTTTTTTAATTTGTTGTTCCAGCTCCATTTATTTTAAAGACTCTTCTTTTGCCCAACACTCTCTGATGGCATTTCTGCAATACATCAGGGGTGCACATACATGTATAAATTGAATCCATTTTAGTTTCTCCTTCATCTTCCACTAGTTTATTTCTACCTATCCAAACACTGCACTATCCTAGTTAGTATAATCCTATAAGCCTGGAGGATATCTTTCTAATTTTTATTCAACAGTAACTTTGCTATTATTTTCCAATTGTGTTGGAACCTAATACACATTTTCACTTATTTTTTTTTTCAGTTATCTTATTTTGAAACAGGGTCTTGCTTTGTTGGCCAGGCTGGAGTCCAGTGGTGTGATCATGGCTCACTGCAGCCTCAACCTCCTAGGCTCAAGTGATCCTTCTGCCTCAGTCTCCTAAGTAGCTGGGACCACAGGTGTGTGCCACCATGCCTGGCTAATTTTTAATTATTTTTTTTTTTCAGAGATAGGGTCTTCCTGTGTTGCCCAGGCTGGTCTTTAATTCCTAGGCTCAAGTGATCCTCCTGCCTCAGCCTTCCAAAGTGCTGGGATTACAGTCATGAGCCACCATACTCAGCTACATTGGTTTTAAAGATCATCCAACCAATTATTGCCAACCAACCACTATGCAGCAGGTACTTGGCTGCATCATGCAGTAAACAGACCAAACTTCCCATCCTTGTGAAGCTTACAAATTAATGTGTGTGGGGAAGAATAGGTACAAACAGTAATAAGAAATAAATTATATTATAAATAATACCTGAAGGTAAAAGGGCTATAAAAATTATAGATAAGGCTATGTGGGATTGAGATGGTGTGGTAGAAAAGTTTGAATTCTAAATAGGGTGATCATAGGAGGCTTCTAATCAATCTGTCAAATTCTTGAAAACATTGCTGATATTCTAATAGAGAAGACTGATGTATCTATATTAGAATAAAATATATTTGAACATCGTATCTAATCTAAAAACTTGGCTCATTTGTCACTCTACTAGGGTTTGCTTTTATGCCTATAAACTAAGTATTCAAGTTTTCTGTATGAAGGTCTTACTTGTGTTTAATTTCTGCATACTTTTTAATGAAATTGTAATTTTTAAAATTTGTTTTCTATTTATTGCTATGTGGATATTTAATTTTTAATTATCAGTCTTGTGAAATTCTTATTAATGATAATAAATATGTAAATTGAAATAAATATCTATATGAAAATCATATGTGCTGTCATAATTTTAAATATTCAATTCCAATATCATTCATTCATTCATTCATTCATTCACTAATTCACGGTTTACTGTGCTACCCAGGACCAAAAGTGAGTGGCAAGAGCACACAACCTGGCCTTATTCCTAAAATCTAACATTATTATAGGCCAGGGAAGGTGGCTCATGTCTGTAATCCCAGCACTTTTGGAGGCCAAGGCTGGAGGATCACTTGAGCCCAGGAGTTCAAGACCAGCCTGGGAAATATAGTGAGATCCCATCTCTACAAAAAATATAAAAATTATACATATATAAATATTATATAAAATAATATTACATAAAGATACATATGTTATATGAAAAGATATACTTACACACCATACACTTATATATACAGACATATGTGTGTGTGTGTGTGTGTGTATGTGTGTGTGTATATATATATATATATAGAAATATTTTGAGGAATTGGCACACGTGATTGTGAGGCTTGGAAAACTCAATATCTGCAGGGCAGACTAACAGAGATGGATCTTATTTTTTTAATCCAACTTGCAACTCTGTGTACTTTAAGTGGAGCATTTAGATAATTTACATTCAAAGATAATATTTATATGTGTGATTTGGATGAATCCTAAAAGATGAGTGGAAACTTTCTACACAAAGAGATTTAGTGGGGTTAGGAGGGTATTACAGGAGAAGGAAACAACGTAAGTAAAAGCATGATGGCATGAAATAGCTTGGTCTGATAGAAACTGTAATAAAGCAAACAAAATGAACATGACTAAATTTATTGTTGTAAGCTGTACTACAAAACCGTGGGAGAATCCAGAGAGCCCCATTCACATTCTAATTACCTGTTATTTTCTAGAAAATCCAGACAACTTAATCCTCTGCTTTTCTAAACCTTAGGAAGTGATAGCTGGGTAAGAGAAGGTAGCATTAGAGACAGGTGTGCTCCAAGGAAGTGAAAAATAAGTAATTACTTCTGTAGGTTTGGGGACCGAGAAAGAAGCAGCTAAGATCTTGCTATTGTTCGAATGTTTGTGTGTCCTCCAAAATTCACGTTGGACTTTAACTTCCCATGCAACAGTAGGAAGAGATGCGTCCTTTAGAAGGTGATTGGGCATTTAGGGCTCCAACTTCATGGAAAGTCTTATTAAAAGTGTGGAATGGAACTAACTAGGCCTCTTTTTGCTCCTCCACCTTCTGCCAGGTGAGGACAGAGTATTCTAGGTGCCACCTTAGAGTAGAGATTTGTCCTTTACCAGACACGAAACTTGTCAGCATCTTGATTTTGGACTTCCCAGTCTCCAGTAATGTGAGAAACAAATTTCTACTGTGAATAAATTATCCAGTTTGTAATATTTTGTTATAGCAGCCCAAATGGATTAAGACACAAATCTCTTCAGTTTTTGATTTGTTAGTGGGTGAACAGCACTGCTGTAAATGGAACGCCGCATTGGGAAAAAGTCCTGCTTTTGAGGTCTCTGTAAGATAATCAGGCAGAGATACTCAACAGGCATTTGAGCATCTGAAGCTCAGCGAAAGGTCTGAGAAAGTTATATAGATTTGGGAAATTAATGACTGATAATAATCATTGGGACAATGACAGTGAAGAAATTTGCCTCAGATTCTACAATTATCCAATTGATACGTGGTGTCAGCTGGGCTCAGAATCTTACAGAATACTTCTATCAGGCAGTTGAGAAAAGTTGCGAGAACAATCAGATGACCTCTCTGCATTGGCTCCTCTTCCTCTGATACTGTGCCACATTTGTACATGCCTCTTCAATGTTGGTGGCCTGAAATAAATAGACATTTTAGGTCCAGAATAGAATTGAACTTTCACCTATCTTATTTTAGCATCTATAATTCTTCTAATACAGCTTGTGTCTATGGGTGTCAGCCATATTCACTGTTGACTCATTTTGAATTTACAGTCAAACTAAAACTCCTGAGTTATGTTCTTATTAACTGTTATAAAGCTAAGTTTTTGTAACTTATGCTATTTCAGTACGTTTTTGACCTTAAATGTAAGCCTTGTCTGCATTAAATTTTTACCTTTTGTTTCCTGTTTATCTAAATTATAAAAAAAGATTTTATGTTTTATTCATTCAATATAAAAAGTAATCTTTATGATATGCTTATTTCACATTGCATTCCTGTATAAAAAGTCTCATGTACTCCATAAATATATATACCTACTATGTACCCACAAAAATTTTAAAAAAACAATATAAGGACTGATGTAAATGATTAATGAAAATATCATTCAAAACACTGTAGCTAAAAACTGTGATTTAAAGGGTCAAGCTTCAATTATCTGGGTAATAAAAACATTGGTCTTCTTTAACTTATTCTATAAATATCTTCTAAATGTCTGCTTTTTGCCAGGCACTATACTGGGGACTGGGTATTTAGCAATATAAATGTTCTAATATCTTTCCCCCTGGGGTATGTTCTCAAGTGGGAAGACAAACTGTAAGCATATAAACATAAACATATAATTAGTATCATTTAAGTTCCATGAAGGGATATTACAGGTTCCCATGAGAAAAAATATCAGGGGGTCTACTTTAGATAGGTAAGTCAGGGTAGGCTTCCTTCGAAATGCAGAAGTGACATTAAGCTAAACCTGGAAGTGTGAGTCGGTCTTAGCTAAGTGGAGGTGCAGTGGATGGGAGAAGACAACAAGAGAGTTTGGAACAAGTGCAATAACCTGAGGCAGGAGAGTGCTTGTGCCTGAAGACCCAAAAGAAGAATAAAGTGATTGGATGTCAGGAAGGGGGTAACCCCAGACATGACTGGTAAGAAAGGGAGAAGCAGGACTTCATAGGCTGGTACATCATGCTAAAGATTTTCTTTTTCTTTCTTTTTTAATTTTTTTGGTTCTGAAAAATACGATGGCATGCTATTGTAGGGTTTTCGGAAAAAAATACATTTTTGTTTGAGAAAGATGACTCTGGGAGATCAATTAGAAAATTATTGCCATGATGCAGGTGAGTGATGCTGATGGCTTTCAATAGAATGATGGCACTACAGGTAGGAAGATCTGTGGTGGACTTTGAAAGGGTGTGTTGTGGAAGGTATAAATAATGAAGGCCAGGTTTTTGGTCTGTTAATCTGGGTAAATGGAGGTAACATTTACTGGGGTAAGAAAAACAAATGTAGCCACAGATTTAAAAGCCAGGTCAAGGTTTCTAGTATGGGCATGCTTAGTTTGAAAGTCAGATAGTTATATTAACAATTTTGAATTTAAGAAATCACACTTAGGGCTAGAAATACAAATTTTAGAGGTTTTGACATAGAGAAGAACTTTAAAGTCAGTGGATAAGGTTGTGCAGGAAAGGATCTAGATCAAGGACTGACTTGAGACAGACTGGAAATTGTATAGAGAACTCAGTTGGCCAAAGCAATTGAGAAGAAAGAAACTGAAAGAGAGAAAGAACATCTGGAGTATGGTTTAACTGAATACAAGAGAAATGAGTTTCAAGAAGAATGTGATTAAATACTACAACAAAAGTCATCATGAATATAGCTGCATTATGTGCTTCTGTTATAGGTAGGAGATTCTTCTGGGTAGATAAGACTTTATTACTTTTGCCACCCTAGACCTTGCCTAGTGTTTTCACATAATGCATTAATAACACATTTTTGCTAAATCAATTAATGATTAAGTTATCAAAAATATGTTTCTTGCCACAATTTGCAGAATGTTTTTAAATGAACAATGTCATAATCACACAGCTAGGTCATTATTATCACCCTCATTTTCCAAATGAGAAAATAACCTCCTGGAGAAGTTAAGTTTCTTGCCAAAAAGTCAAATACATAGTGTTATGGTATGGCCAGAGTAAGTCTAGTGTTCTATATCAACATCTCTACTCACTGACAATGGTGGATAAATGAGGTCACGTAACTATGTATGTATTGACTTATACTAAGATATATTACATATGTTAAGATACGTATCTTGGAATTTGTATATGGTTATGTGTGTTGATATATCCCCAAACTTGAAATATGATAGCAAGAAAAGCTGAATTGTCAGTCAGCTCACAAAGATGGTAGCCACCTTTTCTATAATAGAGTGGGATGTGATCCTAAGTGGTACACCCTAGGTGGTGAGGTAATTGACGGAAAGGAAGCAGCTAAGAGTGTGAACTAACAGCTGCAAAGAGTTGACAGTGAATGGAGTTGTAGTCTAACAGCCACAATGACAAAAGAACTACCCATTGCTCATGCAGATGTTATATAGAACACAGACTTAATATGTCCTTGATGTGGAAGGAACTTCTGTTGCATATCAAGAATTCTAGCCACATTTACACATGGGAAACAAGAGCAGCTGCAGTGACATCTTCAGAGAGTGAGTACAATAACCTAAAGTGAGGGAATTAGTCATTCTTCACCTTCTTTGTTTCACATTGTTGATTTGCTATTAACAACGGTTAACGGACGAAGAGATTGCCAACCCCCAATCCCATAACTACTAGTTGCCATTATATCTGTAAATCCACATTAACCAGCCCAAATAGTGGATTTGTTTATAGAAAGGCAGGACATCTAAGATTCAAGAAGTTTTGCTTCATTTCAATGAATTTTATCAAAATTTTATACCTACAAACTGCTTCTTCTATAATCTTCATTCTCTTGAGTCCTTCCCAGGTGTTTTGGGACTGAACGAGTTCACAAAGAATTTCTTCTCCTTCAGACACACAATGAGGAAAGAAAAGATCCTCATGAGGACTATATATTATTTCCCAGAATTTTGATGCCTATAAAGTTCCAGCAGAAAATCACAAAATGAAACATAAAAAGTCCCTTTGTGGCTCCTAGAACCTACATTCTTAGAAGACAAACTCTGAAGCTCACTGCATAGGTCATTTCTAAATTCCTGCTTTCAGGGAAAGGATCCTACTGATATTTTCAGATAAGCAGAAATCCTTGAAATAAACGCAGCATGATCTACCCTCTGTGGGCTTCTAATGGCTTCATGGGTGTAGGCCCTGTTTTCTCAGCTATACCTTAAATGCCTTGAACAGTGGGACTGTGTTATAAACCAAACTCAGCCTCTCTTTGAGATATGAAAAGCTCAGGAAATAGCACATAATGGCAAGCTCAGAAAATGTCAGACAGCATTTCCCAACATGTGCTGACTCTTATGAGTGGCTCCTCATAGAAAGGATTTCACTGACAAAATGTTTGGGATATAATCCAACCATAGGCTCTTCTTGACTAATATGAAATCTCATTCTTGGTTCTAAGAAAATCTCACATTTAAGAAACCAGTTAACTTTTATTCCATACCTTCCAAATTTCTTTGACCACAGGACTTGAGTTTTCTTTTGGTTTCTTTTTGCAATAGGACTGCATTCTACTGAACACAGATTTGGCAAAGTACAATTATTTTCTATCTTGGGATGACTTAGTACAAATCCTGGCTCTGCCATTTTTCTAGGGAATTGCCCTAGCCGCTCACAATTGAGTGAGCCTAAGTCAGTCATTTCAAATTCAGAAGCTCAGGAATATAGTAAGACATGCTTCAACAATTATTGCAAGGATAAATGAGATAACGTAGATGAGATGCCAATCACAATGCTTGGCACACAGTGAGAGCCTACCAACACTAGCTGAATCTGTATCTGAATCTCTGCACTGAAGGAATAAAAATAAAAACAAACAAAAGCCACTTCTCATAACAATGAAGACTCTTGTGGCAGGCTTTGTGAAGCACCAAATAGCACGCACTCCAAGACTGAATATCGCTATTTACTAAGTCTGTGTAACAGGTATCCGTAGTAGAAATGCTTAAGTAAGTCAGTACACATCCTTAAACCCTTTCATATTTATTGTAAAGCTAGATTAGTAAGGTAGCCTGAAAGGCAGACCTTTGTGTTGAACTTCTTGAAGAAACACATCTTGCAACTGAAGTGCTGGAAAAGCTGTTCAAATGTTTTCCTGGCGGATGCAAATCATTTTCTGAATATTGAATAGAAATATCATGACATTTGATTACAACATTAATGCTGGTCTGGCCACAATGCTGAACATTTATTTTATGCTGTATGCAATAGAAAAGAAAAACATTTTGCTAAGAAAGCTCTTGTGGCCTGATAAGTTCAAGTTTAAAAGGAAGTCTGATTTCCGGCTCTCTTTCACTTTTCACATAACTGAATGCATTAATTTTAAAACAGCAAGGAATTGATTTTCCATTGACTTCTAAACAGAATCTCCTTACACTAGGGAAGTCCAAGTCAATCCTGTATTTGAAAATTAGCATACATTTACCAGACTTCCGACCAGAATGGAAATCCCGAACCAATCTTTCAACTGCACAGCACAACTTTGTCTTTGAAAACAGTGAAGCAGCTTTCTGGGAAAGGGTTATCTTGTCCCAGACTGAAACTGGAACACGTTAGTCACCATTTTACCTTATTAAAATCTAGCAAAACAGTGGGCAAAATAAAATCTCTGACTGGTCCACTTAATTTGAATAGAAATTGTCAGTTAGCATCCTGAGAGCAGTGTGAATCAGGAGGAAGAGAGAGACTGGATTCAGTGGGTGAGAAACACACTCAGTAATGACTTAGGCCTTCAGATGTTTCCAATAAAAAGGGGGTGATGTTTTTTTCTAGACAGGTCTGGAGTCTGGAGAAGATGACTCAGATTCACAAACTATTTCTCAGTCCCTTGTTTTGAAGGCCATGAATCTGAAATGTGAGATTCGGTGTCATTGCAATCAACAAAGAGCCATGTTAGACACATGAAATGCATGTGAGCATGAAACTGAACCAGGTTC